TTTTAGCTTCCTAAGGAATTCTTTATCTGGTATCCTATAAATACTTTATTTCAGGAATTATGTATAGAACATGACTCAAAATTTGGGGAAATAACAGCTTACCTCAATGATGAGGAAAAAGCAAGTAACAGATGATGCTTTCCTGAAATTTCCTATCCACCTAGTTGCAATGGTGCAGTGGCAAAATATGCCAGGGAATTACTCCTCAACAAAATTCTATTAATGAACATTATTAGAAAATGCCCTCTTCTATTCCCCAGGTATATTTAGGCCTTCTCGTCCCCCCTTCCTATTCAACATCTCTCTCATACTTTGCTTCTCCTTATTTCTCTAGATTACATTCCGCTGACTTCTTTGGCCTTATCGTTCAGCTAATTCTCCCTTGGTTTATAATTTCTGGTTAAACCAAGGTTTTTTTCTTTATTTTTCTTTTTTCTTTTTCTGTGCCAGTTCAGTATACATCTACAATAAATACACACACAGATACCAAACATTCATTTTAGGGTATCTAATCTACCATTCTATTATTGTCAGACAAAGAACTTTTATTCTATCCTTACTCAAAACCTCCCTCTTCTTTTCCCTCCTGAAATTTATTTAGACACCAAGCATTTCATATAATCTAAGAAATGTCTAGCCCATCCTCCTCTACTAATTCAGGCCCTCGTCATTTCTGAGACAAGCTGTTAAAACCTCCCAGCTCCATCTAATGACTAGTCCTTTCCTCACACTAAGGTTTATAGGTAGTAAGAGCCAGACATCAGTTATAGACATCCGTTGGATTCCAATCCATCCCAAAAGGTTCTAACTTGTCCCGGTTCTCCCCTACTTCATGTCCATCTTCTCTGCCTGACAGTCAACCCAACAGATTTCAGCAGACAGCACCAAACACAGAAGCAACAATTTTCATAGACTGTTCAGCTTCTATAATTATATACATTATAGCTATATATTCTTCACTAGATCTTGTGTTTTGCATCTCTGTTCAAACCTTGACTGACAGGGCAGTATCTAGAGATCTGCTCATTCCTTCCAAGAGCTGCAGTATAATCCACCAGATGGATGTCAGCTTATTCAAGCAACCCCAAGTCCCCTAGTAATGGACAAATGGGTTATTTCTAGTCCTTGCTCTTATAGTGCTGCAGTGAACATTGATATTTTTTCAGACTTTTATAAATGTATCTCTGAAATAAATTCTTAGAGATAGACTATGGGTCCAAGGTAATAATCATTACTGCTATCAGTTCTCTTCCCTCCTTAAAATCTACAACTTCTTCTGGGAACCATTCAAGCAACCATGGCAGATACTGGTAGTTGTTAATATCCATCTCCCATCATCGTATAATAAAATTTTTAGTTGGGCACTAAGCTAAAGACAACTTTTCTCAGCCTCCCTTGTGACTGCTGTGGCACCATGATGAAGTCCTGACCAACAGACTATGCACAGATTTAATATGTATAATTTCCAAATCATTCTTTAAGAGGAGGAGAATTGTCTTCCCCTCCCCTTATTTCCCCCCTTCCTTGTGGCTGATATGTTTCTTTGATGTTGGGAGCAGAGCAGCCATCTGGGACCAGAAGCCGGAAAGTCACAAAGACAAACAGAGAAACCAGACAGAAGGATTCCGGTATCCTGATATTTATGTGAGAGAGAAACAAATTTCCATCTTACTTAAGGCCTTACCTTACTTACTTAAGGCCTTATTGTTAGCCTAAATAATATATCTAACTTTTGTAGAATCATCTACTTCATGAATATATCTATGTTTAAGAGGTCATTCCATAAATAAAATATAAGGGCTCACATACATGATTTTATAAACATTGCATTACACTCATAAGTTACTTTTACTTATATAAGACTATGTTCCGTTTAATTAAGATTACTTAGTAATTAACATAAATGGGCTATAACGTAATGAATACAACCTCCAATTATTTTTGCGAAGGATTGCCAGCCTGGTATTTAAAATACATGCATGAACCTTCCCAGTATGAATTCCTTTAAACAACTCTAAATGTAAAGATTCATATATTTGGTCTATGCTATTTTATCTATTCCCAAATGTATGCTGAAAATTCAAAAAGAATGTAGGAATAATACTCAACCTCTTAAATTTTTATTTATGGATACTAAAAGTCTTCCCATTGTCACCACTTCTAAGTGGCCTCTGCGATAAATCTAAAGTATCTTCTTTCATTGCATTATCTAATTCTGTTAATACAGAAATGTCTTCTACAAAGCAACTCAAGTTACTGAATCAAAAATGCTACATTCTTTTTTATATCATTCTGAACAACCGGAAGTTTGGCGTTTCCTCCAGCAGCATGAGGCAGACCTGAGAGATGAACAAAGATGGAGAGAGCCACTGCATGGAGGCCAATGAAAAATCAGTGGCAGAACAGGCAGAGCTCCCCCGCTCCCCTCCCCTCCAATAAAAGCAGCAGCCAAAATATGGTCAACTGTAAGACACCAATTTGAACCAGAAGCCAAGTCTAAGAAAACCATGGGATAAGAGCATCCTGAATTCTATATAAGAGCCAAGAATAAAATAAGATAAATGGAGATGGACAGCATCAGTTACTGCTTCAGAACTGATACGAAGCATTGGTTCTCAAAATTTAGTTGGAGTCAGAGTCACTGGGAGGGCCACTAAGAGACAGCCGAGCCTCACTCGGGAGGTTCTAAATCAGCAGGTCATGAATCGAGGCCTGACAATGTGCATTTCTAATAAGCTCCCAGGAGGCTTAGGCTGCTGGTGCAGGGATCAACTCTAGAGAACATGGATGGATATGAAGGTTTTGGTGGCTACCTCTTTTCTCCTTAGACTACTTGCTTCTGCAGAGAAACTCTCCAGCTGTGAAAGAACCTGTTTTACTCTTTACTGACCCCCCGGATCTAAGGAAAGATTCAGACTTAAAGTCCTTGAAATAGCACATAATCACTGGGAAACTTCTCAAAAACTTTTTTTTTTTTAAAGATTTTATTTATTTATTTGACAGAAAGAGATCACAAGTAGGCAGAGAGGCAGGCAGAGAGAGAGGAAGGGAAGCAGGCTCCCTGCTGAGCAGAGAGCCCGATGCGGGGCTGGATCCCAGGACCCTGGGATCATGACCTGAGCCGAAAGCAGAGGCTTTAACCCACTGAGCCACCCAGGCACCCCTTCTGAAAAACTTTTGAGCCCCATTCCTCATCAGTGTTTTTCATAATCTCTCTCCCAATGCCAAGGCTACAACAAATTTCTCAAGCTCTTAGCTGAATTCTGTAAAGTTATACATTTCCCTTTCCAATCCTGCTTTCAAAATTTGCAGCCAAATGAATATTACTTTCCTAAGTTTCTATTTCACTCTCCATTTATTAAATATGTACTTTAAAAAGTCTGCATTAGTTAATAAGCTAGCACAGTTATAAAAAATTTTAAAAAAATAAAATTAAAAAAATAAGCTAGCACAGTTGGTAGGACTTATAAATATAATACCCATAAGGGATCTAAAGTAATTAGCAATCAAATAGCTACTCAGTGTACACCATCTGTGTATTCTTATTCACCTCAAGACTTTAAATTCTTATGTTACTTTTAATTCCATAATGACATATACATCACAACAGAGTTCCTAAAAAATGTAAAGATTCCATTTAAAATATGTTTAACTCTAAGAGCACTGAGACTCTGAAAAATTTCCAATGAAAGTACAAAATGGCATAACTCCTTTGAAAAACTCTTCAGTAGATTCTTACCAAATTAAATCAACATCTACCCTATGAAACACCAATCCCAATTCCTGGATATTTATTATTCAAAAGAAAAGAAAGAGTATGTTCACAAAGCACCTGATCAAGAATGTCCCTAGCAACCTTCTACAAAATATGCAAAAACTGAAAACAGTGATGGACATTTGTTCATTAATAGGAGAACAGATAAATCGTGATTAAATTCATACAGTGGAAATACTACTCAGCAAATGAAAAAGGCATAAATTGCTGCTAACAAGCAACAAGGTGAATGAATCTCAAAACATGAGGTTGAGAAAGGAGGCAAACACAAGAGGATACACATGGTGTGATTCATTTCTACAAAGCCCTAACACATGTGCAACTAATCTACGGGGACAGAATCAGAAAGTGGCTAAGTTTGGGTTAGAGAAAATGGGCTGGCAGAGAAGAGACAGGAGGAGCTTCCTGCAGTGAGGAGATTGTTCTAGATTTTGTTTTTCACAGTCTTTACCTTGATGTGTAAGACTGTAAAAAAAAAAAAAAAAAAAAAAAGCTATCAAACTGAACACTGAATATCTGTGCCCTTTATTGTAAGTCCCATCACAACAGAAAATGATAAAGCTAACGACTTGAGAAAAAGAATGATTTACAAAAGCAATGTTCTTTATATCCAAAATAAAATATAGTTAGATAGAATAGCTTGATATTTAAAATTTCCAAATTTAAAAATCTTTAAAAAAAATTTTCCATTATAGGTGATAAAGAAGCAGTCACAGATGAATGGTTACAGAATTATGACTTCATGCTTAAGGTAGGGTGACTGAACATCTCAATTTGCCTTAGACAGTCATTCCAGTGTTGACCTGAAACCACAGCATTGTCAGTGCCCCCTTTGCTATCAAAGGTATCTTGATTTGGAGAAAGACCTATAGCTAGAAGGAAATTTGATATTATTTGGTACAATGCACTCATTCACTTTTCCGTTCCACCTACACTTACTAAGCATCTACTATGTAGCTAAACATAGCCTCTATGTTCTTGCTACCATTCCACATTGCTCCTTTGTTTCCACAATTAGAACCTAAAACAGAAGGATGGATTTTTGCCTAAAGTTAGCATAAAATAGTGAAAGACAAACTAAATACAGAAGAAAGCAATGAGAATTTTCTATAAGCAAGGAAAATATAAATCAAACTCACAAAACAAAAAGGTTAAAATTTTTTTGAGCTGTGCAAAACAAAATGCATAAAGATATTCACAAATATAAAATAAAGGAAATCTTTACCTGCTGCCCTGTAAAGTACTTTAGGTTCAAAAAATATACAAGGATTTTTATCCTCTATGCATGACAAAAGAAGTCCTTTGGCCTGGAAAGGGCTTCTGGGTACAACCACCTGCAAAAACAGATTTTTTTTTTAAAGACCATTTTGATACAAAATGTAGTCCAGTAAACTCACTTATAAGAAGGGGAGATATTTCAGTAACTAATTATTACTAATTGCAGAGCTCTTGCATTTTTAGCCTAATTACCATTATAAATGTTACATATTGTCCCATCCCCCAAAAATTCCATTGTTGAACAAGTATTTATCAGATGCCAATCACAGTCTAGTAGCTAAGATACTGTTCTCTTAAAAAGCTAAGCTTCCATACATATATTAAAAGGAAACTGCAAGAAGCAAAGTTGTCAATATCTTCTATATTCACCTATAAAAAAAAAATTTTCCACTTATACCCTACTGCTACTTTCAAAGGGCATGTAACTCTTCTCCAATTTTGATACCAAAATTTCCTCCTTTCCCATGAAACACAGGGTCTTCATTTCCTAAGTGGAAAATAATTCACTGAACTTTATGATCTGGGCACTGTAATGTCCAATTATCGCAACACTGAAAGGAAAGTGTGGATACTGCCCACTTCCAGCTGAGATGAAAGGGCTCCAGAACCTTCTCGAGAAGGCCTTTGACAAGGAGGAGGATGATCACAAAAGATGGCACATGTGTTAATTGGGCCAAGCACTCTATGTGGATACTATTCTTCCTAGCAACCCATACTATTATTATTTTCCCCAATTTAGAAAGAGAACCAAGGGATTAAAAAAGAGATCAAATAATTTGCCCAAAGTTACACTGTTTGACCACGGTTTCTCTCACAGTTCTGACACCAGACCCTAAGCTCTTACTATACCATTTTGCCAAAAATCACAACTTATGTCTAGTTTTTAACAACTGTTAAATAATTATGTAAATATCAGTGAATACCAGTGTTACATGGGAAGGGTTATTCAAATAAATTCAAATAAATCTGAATTTACCTTAAAGACTCAAATGAGATTCCTTGAAACAAACTACATTTGGCTTTCCAAATCAATTTTACACCATTTTTAAACTGAAGGATTATTTTTTTAAAATAACACAAATCTCACTCTTTTCTGTAAAAAAGACTTCTGAACACGTTGCTTACCATAATACACAATGTCTTTAGGTTCCTACTTTAGTTTCTCTTCATCTGCTTTCCTCATGTATTTCTAGCATTTTGTACTATTTCCATTTGGGATTAAAAAGAGGGAAAGGGACAAGTGAAGAAAAGGGATTGTGAGGGGACAAAAATCTCTTCTTAAAAGTGCTGGGTAAGATCATAAACTTTAAATGTCAGTGTTCAGCTCAGGCACAAAAATAAGTGTGTTTAGGGATGCCTGGGTGGCTCAGATGGTTAAGCATCTGACTTCTGCTCAGGTCATGATCCCAGGTTCCTAGGATCGAGTCCTGCATTGGGCTCCCAACTCAGAAGAGAGCCTGCTTTTCCCTCTCCCTCTGCTGCTCTCCCGGCTTATGCTCACTTGCTCTGTGAAATAAATTTTAAAAATCTTTAAAAAAATAATAATAAATAAAGTAAGTGGTGCTTCAAATGTGGCTTCTGTCCCTACCTACCGCTTCCAGCTTATGTTGAAAAATTATGCAACCTCCACTCAATTAAAAAAAAATTGTGACTTTATAAAAATAAAACAGACACATGTTTACAGCCAATTCATGTTCTCAAACACACATACAGCCCTGGGTGGACCTAGGAGTTTCTATCACGATGCCCTGGAAGGGTCTTTAGCAAATAGAAATGGAAAAGATAATGTAAAAAGTTAAAACATAAAATATGCCCAAATGTCACTTTTTTTTTAAATCAAAATACCTAAACTATTGTGGAAGACTTAAGATTATTACAGACAGCTTTAAAAGAGAGATGCTTCAAAATTATTTGATGGAATATTACCTTACCCAGAAAACACATCTGGATAACAGAGGCTTCTCTTAAACTGAAGCAAAAGTCCTATCCCTCTGACTTTGAGGTAAATATGTACTAAACCGTGTATCTATTAAAATTTACCCAGAATCGGTTAAGTGAGAAAGCCCCATTAGAAAGAAACAGAGCTTTGAAAGAGGGGGAAGTTAAACCAACTATGTTCTCCATCTCATCATTTACAGTCGGTGAAATTAATGTCAGGGTTAAACCAGTGCTACTTCAACAAGAATATTCTATAAACCTGGGAACTGGAGAGCTGATCTAAAATAAATACTTCCTTTCTAAAAAAAGCAATTAAGTTCACACAAATTCCACAAATCCTGTTTGCCTTCCTCTAGATAAGCATATTAGTTCACAGAACGAACCAGAATGGAAATATCCAACAGAGATCAAACAAAGTGTATAAATGAGGATACCTTGATTCCTGGGCAGTGAGCAAAAAAAGCTTCAGGACTCTGAGAATGATAAAGAGCCCCATGGCCAACACAGCCCCAAGGGGCCCGGATGGTGAGGCTTCCACAATTAAAAAGATCCCCAGAACGATAGCGATACTTGGCAGCTTCATTAACAATCTAGGTGGGGGGTGGGGAGAGAAAAAGGACAGGTCACAAGGAGTCTTTTATTGTCATCCCTTTCCTTAACCATTTTATTAGATGTTTAAATATATGCCCATAACAAAATAACTCATAATGCATTAGCTCAAAGATGACCAAAAAATCCCCAAGATCAGAGGTGGGAGAGTGGAGGCAAAACTCCAACACTTCATGGATGTAATCTAAGACATGTTTAATCATAGGGCCACCTGGGTGGCCTAGTCAGTTAAACATCTGCCTTTGGCTCAGGCCATGATCTCAGGGTCCTGGGATCGAGCCCTATGGGGGGCTCCCTCTGCTCAGCAGGGAGTCTGCTTCTCCCTGTCCCTCTGCCCCTTCCCTTGCTTGTGTTCTCACTCTCTCTCACTCTCTAATAAATAAACAAAAATCTTAAAAAAAATGTTCAATTACAGTAAAATGAAACCTTCTTACCTGATCAAAAGCAGGGAAAATATAATCTGCAAACTGAATTTCCGCAATGGCAGTAGCCCCAGTGACTGCGATCCCAATTCCAAACCCAACAATTCCTTGTTCACACAACGGTGTGTTGAAAACTCTATCTTTTCCTAAAAGAAGAAAAATTAGTCTTAATATGACAAATGGGAGTGATACAATACACAGCACGACCAATAATTCAGAGAGTTAATGGTGACGGAGCATAGAAAAGGTGAAGGAAATAGAAGATAACTAGCATGAGGGCTGGTTTAAATGCAAACATAATTATTATATTAACTGTAAGTAATCTTAGCGTTTCAACTGAAAGAAAGGTTGTCACTCTGGGATAAAAGAAAGCAAACTGCAACTACTTAAAAGAAAACACTGAGACAATAAAGATAACTGAAGAATCCTAAGTAAAAAAGAAAGAAAACAAACAATGAAAACCCTAAGCAAAACAAGGTGTGTCACCACAGGATCAGTGGACAAAGTAAACTTTAGGGGAAAAGGCATTACCAGAGATAAAGCGGGAAAATTCATCATTTTGAAAGGTTCAAGTCAGGAGGAGGACATAGTTCTAAATTTACACTCACGGAACAACATTGGCTCCAAATAAATAAGAAAAATTAACAGAATTAAAAGGAAAAAGTGGATAGATTCCCAATATGGAGGGAGATATTAATACACCAATCTCAGTAAGTGACAGAAAAAGCATACCAAAATAAAAAGTCACGACAAGAGAAGATTGGAATATGATTAGCAAATACAACCTAACTGACATGAGCAGGACAATAGCCAAGAATACAAACCCTTTACAAGGAAGCAGAAGCAGACATTCACTGACCACAGACTGGGCTAAACATCCAATCTCAACAAATTTTGAACTATTAAAATCATAACAGGGTGTATTCCCTCACTACAACTGAACTAAGCTAGAAGTCAGTAACAGAGAGTTAGAAAACCTAAGTTAGAAAAAAATTTTAAATATGTCTAAGGATCCACGGCTCAAAAGAAATTATAAGGAAATTATAAATATTTTGAACTGAATGACAATGAAAATTATGTATCAGTTTGTTAAGGTTACAAATTTAGTAAGGAGTCCAATAGCTCTTTTCAGACTAACCCGCCCACACGTATTATCAACTCTGGACACAATGTAACAAATAAGTGACTTAAAGGCATTGGAGAGCCAAAAAGCAGCCTAAACCAAAGGGGCCTTGACCCCTGAAAGAAAGGAAGGGCAGTAGATAAGTATAACATTTATAAGTCCTGGCCCCTGAGGGGACTCTGCATTCTCTGTAACAAGAGACTGCTAGGATTCAGAAAAGACAGACTCTGTCTTTATTAGCTCAGAGCTATGAGAGAATAAAAGGGGTTCAGGGCTGCCAGTGGCTAGACATTGAGGGACCAAGCCCCTAAAAGAACACCACATGGGGGTACCCCAAAGTCCATGTGTAAACTCCATCCAAATCTTTGGCTGACCTCTATGGCTGCAGGAGACGTGAAAAACCCAGCAGATAACAGCTGGAAGCCCAAAGAGCTGAGCAGAGATTTCAGCTCTACCTACTAAGAAAAATACAGAATTTCAAGTTTGAGACTCTTCACATTAAAAGAGCTTGATAAACACTTCAGGCTTCGCATTGAAAACACAAGGTACATGTTACTAGTGTTCAATTCTCACTTGAAATTTCACCACCTGTCCACCAATACCAGCATTTCCTGAAAAATCCTAAGTTCAGGGAACTGGGTAGACACAAATAATGACCACAGTCTGGCCAGGTGACCAGAAGTCTGTGGACAGATCAGGGATTCATATTTCAGTCCCAAAATTGAGGGACACCAGTTCTTCTTGTTGCACAAAATTCACTCTCAGCTCAATCATTCCTTTTGAATACACACCACAAATAGGGCAGGTGCTGGGAAATGCCAGCCAGACACATCCTGTAGTCTGCACTCTCTAAGCAGCTGCAAAAACTTAAAAGCATGATTCATACTCATCAACATCTGTGACTATCTTCTGAGACTGTGACCTCTATCACTCATCAGTTCCCTATTTGACGGAGAACAGCTTGATAAGCTCTGAAAATCCAGGACTCCATTGAACTAAGAACAATTCCTTAGTCGTAAGGTTCCAGCCGCCTCCTGTGGAATCCATACCTCTGGAATGCCTGAGCCTCCCTAACTAGGTGAGCAGTGTTCTTATTTATTCCCTGCTACTTCAAGTTCCCTGGACTCGGGTATTTGTCATCTCAGGACGTAGATACAGCTTTTTTTTTTTTTCCTAAAGATTTTACCTATTCATTTGAGAGACAGTGAGAGAGAAAATACAGAGGGAGAGAGAGAAGCAGACTCCCCACCGAACAGAGGCCCCCATGTGGGGCTCGATCCCAGGACCCTGAGATCACCACCAGATCCAAAGGCAGATGGTCAACTGACTAAACCACCCAGGTGCCACTAAGTACAGCCTTTTTTGCTGCTAGAAGGTGGCAAAGTTGAGTTTCTCAAACTGTTACTCAAATGCCTGCTTGGTCTGAGGAAACAGCTTAATTTAACAACTCTCTCCATTACAAGCTGCAATGACATGAACTGTTTGTTAAAAATCTGTTTCTATCTTCTCCCAAAAAGGTAACGATGGAGGATAAGAACACACGTAACTTGTGCAAAAATGATGACTTCCTCCATGTTATAGTGAAATTAACCTGATACAAAGTTCGTACACAGAGTATCCCAATGGGTAAATTAACACATGCAGAGATTGCACCATGAGTCAAGACAGATCTGGTTTTCAGTGCTATCTCCACTAATTACTAAACTCCCTAAGGCTCAATTTACTATCTATAACAAAAGAATCATGATACTAACTAAAAAGAGTAAAATAATTAGAAACAGGAGATAGGGCTACTGTGATTTTTAAATAGGAAGGTCAGGAAGGTCCCACTGAGAGGTGACATATACAGAGAGAGTTGAAGGAAATGAGAAAGTGCACTGTGCATATATCTGAGGGAATAAATGTTCTGGGCAGAGAGATCAACAAGTGCAAAGGTCCTGGGGTACAGGCATTTCTTATTACATCAGAGGAAAGGCAGGAAGTCCCGAGTGCCTGGTATGGAGTAAGAGAAATACTGATAGGAGATAAAGCTGAAGAGTTGAAGAGTGTGGGATGGGGAGGTGACACAGATCAGATAGGACCTTGCAGGTCCCTGTCAGCTTTCTATTAACTAGGACAATGAGTGAGTCAACAATTAGGTGAGGGAGACAGGAAGCCATTGAGTAAAATCCTGCCATTCTCTCAACTACATTCCATCTCTCTAGCTGGTACTTGGTGAATAGCCTCTAACCAGGCAAGGGGGACATGGCAAGTCTGATTACAGGATACTACCATACCAGTAAGAGATGAGACACCTAACTGCAGAAAAGGTGTGAGACTCTGTGGATATAGTCTAAATATAGAGTCGAAGGGATTTGTTGATAAAATGGTTATGGAGCATGAGTCAGAGAAAAACACCAAGGATGACTCAAAGGCTTCTGGCCCACGCAAGCTGAAGGTCAGAGTTGCCCTTAACTAAAGAAAGGCAAACCATGAAGCATGCTGTGATGAAATACCACTTATGGAGAGGCTACATCTGAGATACCTTCAGATGTTAAGGTAAAGCTCATAAACAGACTGTTAAGATATAGAAATTGAAAGTCTTCATCATTAAGACAGCACTAAAAAACATGGGCCTGGGTGTGATTGCCAAGTAAGTGTATGTGAGTACATAGAGGAAAAATCCAATATTAAAAAGACAAGCAGTGAGAACTAATATAATCAGCAAAGTTGAAAAGAAAAAAAAAAAAAAAAAGCCAAGAGTTTGGAGGAAAAGTAGGAGAATGTGCTGGCCTAGAAGCCTCTTCTAAGAGGCCTAGATCAAGAGGGAGAGGGAAGACAGGAGATAATGAGTAATGATAATTATTGGGAGAAGTTTTGTTGTAAAGGGGAAAAAAGGAGGAACAACTGGCTGGACCAAACTATGGGTCAATAAAGGGAATTTTTCTGTAAGACCAATAAAAAAGCATATTTGCAGGCTTATAGAAATGATCAATAAAGAAAGGAAGAAATGATTGAGAAAATTAATGAAATGAAGAGACAGAAGAACAACCAAGACTATGGCTTTGATGGGGAGGAAGGGGTCTAGTGTGGAGAGGTTGACAGGAACCCTTGCATTCAGTCAGAGTGCGGGAGGAAGGCATGTGTGAGCACCGATGCGGATACAGGAGTGTGTGCAATGGCGAGGGCTTGTCAAAGTTCTCTCTTCACCGCATCTATCTTCTTGGCAAAACATGAAACTAGATTACTAGTAAAAAGTAAGGAGGGGTGCGCGGCAGTGTTGAGGAGAGAAAAGTATGAAATAGTCTTCTGGGGGTGCCTGGGTAGCTCAGTCAGCTAAGTGTCTGCCTTGGGCTCAGGTCACCATCTCAGGGCCCTGCGATCAAGCCCTGTGTCGGGCTCCCTGCTCAGTGGGGAGCCTGCTTCTCCCTCTTCCTCTGCCTGCTGCTTTGCCTACCTGTGCTCCTTCTCTCTCTCTCTCTCTCTCTCTCTCTGTCAAATCAATAAAATCTTAAAAGGGGGGGGGAGGCCGGGAAGGGGAAGGAAGGGGAGGAGAGGGGAGGGTCATCCAGGAAAATGGAGAAGTGAAAAGACCAGGATCTGGCAGCAGGATGGTAGGCAGCAAGAGTGGCCCCTGAAGATTACTAGTCTCAGACTAAAAGTGACATCAGTTGCAAGATGATGTTTTTCTCTGGTAACATTCTACTTAAGGTTGAGGGTTTAGGAAAGGGTGTTTGTTAAATTAGACAGCCACATGCAGAAGAATGAAACTGGACCACTTTCTTATACCATACACCAAAACAGACTCAAAATAGATGAAACATCTAAATGTGAGACAGGAATCCATCAAAACCCTTGAGGAGAACACAGGCAGCAACCTCTGTGACCTTGGCCACAGCAACTTCTTGCTAGACACATCTCCAAAGGCAAGGGAAACAAATGCAAAAATGAACTATTGGGACTTCATCAAGATAAAAGGCTTCTGCACAGCAAAGGAAACAGTCAATAAAACCAAAAGACAATGGACAGAATGGGAGAAGGTAT